TGACTAGCTTCAGCCAATCGCAGATCACTATCTTGAGCTGCCAAAACTTAACTCATTCATGACAGTTCATGAATGAGTTAGGTACATGACAGCAAGCTTTGCATTGTAGAAGAAATGATCTTTATTTCTCCTGCAAAGCAAAGTGTAAATAAAAAAAAAAAAAAATCCCTGACCACCCCTTCCCCTGCAGTACATTGTTACTATGGTAACATTGTACTATTCTGTTAAAAGTATTAAAAACAAGATAAAAAAAAAAATAAAATGCCATATTGAGAATTTTTGTAAACATTTTTTTTAAAGAGCTGTACCCCCCCTCCCCCCTTTGGTCCAGGGAAAGAAGAGAGAACCAACATTTTTTTCACACACACACGCGTTAGATTAGCACATTTAACCCTTTGATCGCCCCTATTAACCCTTTGATCACCCCATCACCCAACCAGTGCCATTAGTACATAGTGTCCCCAAAAAATGCAGAGTTAGCAGGATCGGCCCCGTTCGCTGCCAGCACTAGCGTTTAGCCCCGCCACTGTTTCTCACGGAAGATTTGTACCAATCGATTGTGGGCCACGGCAATTTACATTACCACAATACATCACCACCCACCCAAATTCAGCTCATCAGACAATTTCGCATGGAAACCTATCACGGTTTCTGAATTTAAAATTCTTTTGGGCCTAACCCTCAATATGGGCATTACAAAAAAGAATGAAATGCTGTCATATCGGTCCACAGAGCAAATTCACCGTATGCTCGTGTTCTCTGCTGTTACATGGATCGGCAATGTACTGTTACGTCGCTGGACTGAGTGGTTATACCAGCATGATTCCTGTAGCTATCACTTTTTTCAGCTGGCGGTCGACATTCATGTAAAAGCAATCCTAGTGGTCAATTAGCTGCTGAATTGTTTTTTTTTACGAGCAGCAGGAAGGGACATCTCACCACCCCCCCCCCCCCTCCCCTCCTGCTGCCTTCCACAGTTTTCTTTGGCACTCTGTTCCCACAGGGGAATCCGAGAATGCAGCCGGCAGTTCTTCTGGCTGACCATAGTGCTGGTCAGAGACCAGAATGGCTCCAAGCATTTCTATAGTCTAAGAAATTGGAAGCTACGAGCATTTCATCACTTCGGTTTCGCAGGATATACACAGCGCCATTTGTAAATTGGGAAAGCATCTGATCACACCGATCTTGGTAAGATTAGACAATATAAGGGCAGAGGAGATATCTAGAGCCAGAGAGACCCCAGATTTCTCAAAAAAGAATATATGACAATGCCCATTGAAGTTATAGGGGATATTTGCATTCCCTGTGATAGCATTAAAAGTGAAAGGGACAGTGTAAAAATAATAAAATAAATCAAAATAAAGCTCCCTCGTGGCCAATTCCCCCCCACGAGCGCTGCCCCTGTGCCAGTAAGTATATAGCGGTTGCACCATGCATGTGAGGCATCGCTGCGAATGTCAGATCACAGGCAGTAATTCTAGCACTAGGCCTCCTCTGTAAATCTAAAATGGTAGCTTGTAAAGGCTTTTATAGCGTTGCCTATGGCTACTAAAATTTTCTGCAGTTTGTCGCCATTGCACGGGGCATGCGCAGTTTTAAAGCATGTCATGTTTGGTATCTATTTACTCAGCATACCATCATATTTTATACTTTACCAAATAAGTGGGCAATATATTGCGTTTTTGTGCATTAAAAGTAAAAAAAAAATACTGCGTGATGTAAAAAATTTCAACACCCACCGTTTTATTCTCTAGGGCCTCTGCTTAAAAAAATATATATAATGTTTGGGGGTTCAAAGTAATTTTCTAGAAAAAAAAAAAATTTCATGTGAAAAAGTGTCAGAAAAGGCTTGGTCTTCAAGAGTGGGTGATGTGTGGCATAAGCTTCTAATGTTGGCCCTGAAATGCCAGGATAGTAGAAGAAACCCCTCCAAATGACCCTTTTTGAAAAGTAGACACTCCAAGGAATTTGCCAAGAGGCATAGTGAGTGTTCTGCAGATCTCATTTGTTGCCACGTTTTTGGAAAATGAAGAAAGAAAACAAAACATTTATTTTTTCTTTCAAAACCCTGTGACAAAAATTATATCTGTAAAATACTCACCATGCCAAATTCCTTGGGGTGTCTACTTTCCAAAAAGGGGTCATTTGGGGGGGTGTTTGTACTATCCTGGCATTTTAGAGCCTCAGAAACTGTGATAGGTAGTGGAGAAGAAAGAAGCCCTTTGAAAGACTGGAGGTGGTCATTGGATTTTGGGGGCTTGTATGTAGCTAGGCTGTCAAAAAGTCTCTCACATGTGGTATCCCCATACTCGGGAGAAGTAGGAGAATGTGTTTTGGGGTGTTATTGCACATATATGCATGGCATGCATGAGCAATATATCATTAAAGTGACAACTTTGTGTAAAAAAATAAATAAAAAATTGTCATTCAAAAAATTTGTGGCAAAAAATAAAATGTTCCATGGACTCAACATGCCTCTCTGTAAAATCCTTGGGGTGCCTACTTTCCAAAAAGGGATCATTTGGGGGGGTTGTACTGCCCTGGCATTTTAACACCTCAAGCAATGTGATAGGCAGTCATAAAGTAAAAGCTGAATAAATTCCAATATATATACATCATAGTTTGTAGACGCTATAGCTTTCACACAAACCAATTTATATACATGAATTGAGATTTTTTTTTTTTTTTTTTTTTTTTTTTTACCAAAGACACGTCAAAGAATACATTTTAGCCTAAATTTATGACTGAGTTTATTGGATATTTTTTATAACCAAAAGTGAAAAATATTGTTTTTTTTTAAATTTTCATAATTTTTTGTTTATAGAGCAAAAAATAAAAACCGCAAAGATGATCAAATGCCACCAAAAGAAAGCTGTATTTGTGTGAAAAAAAGGAAAAAAATTTTGTTTGGGTACATCATTGCACGACCGTGCAATTACCAGTTGAAATAGCGCAGCGCCAAACAGCAAAAAATGGCCTGGTCAGGAACGGGGGTAAATCCTCTGGAGGGCAAGTGGTTAATTGACACTTGCATTGTTTTTTTTTTTAGATACCTTATGCTTTAAATTGATGTTCTGAACCATGTTAAAAAGCATCATAGGGTAACCTTCAGTTCCGATATACTTTACTGAATTCAAATGTCTTATACAGAGAGGATTAGTTTTGCCTTGATCTGTTTTCTACATATATCTTGATGGAAGAGACGAGCCAGAGAGGCAACTTTTACAGCTGCAACAGGTTTCTGTGGAGTGACCTGTAGTAGTAAAGGGTAACTCCACTTTCCAAAAAAAAAAAAAAGTGCTGGGTTTCCATGGCCTATAAACCAACATCCCCTAGACTTGAACAGGACGCTGCTCCTAGAGTACTGGTATGTACCATTCAAGCTTGAATTTAAATAGGTCTGCTTTAAACAAACTAGTGAAAACCTCAAGTTACAATGGTCCATTGCAGGTACTGCTCCTCGATAATCTACTGATTCAGGGAACTGGCTACCAGCTGTCACAGGCTGCTCTTCGAACTCCACATGCTAACTTTTGAAAGGAAAATGAAGCCACTCACCATATAAAAGCAATCTGTCCAGTTTCAGTAAGTGCAGAGTTCAGAGTATGCGATAAAAGGTCTATCATTGGTCTGATCAGCACAGGCGCCTGGAGTCATGTGTCTAAGAATGAGCAGAAGTTGCTTTATTGAAGCAAATTTCTTTATTTCATCAAATAAAGTGTGTTTCGTGGCTTTAAACTGCCACTTCCTCAGTTCTGGGTGATAACACTAATGTGGGGTATTAGTAACTGAGTTTCTTGAGATTCACCCTTACTGGATGACATCAGCCATTAATATCATATCAGGGTCTGACTCTGGTTGAGAAGTAGAAGCGGTGGGGCATTTTCGAGCTCTGGACAAAGATGAGTTAAATAAGGCCATATCCGTCCAAGAAATAGTTACAAGGATGCTTTTGTCAAATAGGCTGCTTGCCTGAAATAGAGCTCAACTAGGATGCTGAAGCCAGCGTTAACAGCAGTTCCTGCTCTGCTGTAAGGGATGTGTTTGTTACTCTGAGTGCTGTACAGGCTTTTAGCAGAGTGAATGTTCACTTGCTGTTTAGTTGGCTCCCTTTCGACTGGTCTCCACCATAGCTACAAGTGAGTGTATTCCCCTGTGGTAAGCTTGTCCAGGAGGAGTACACGGGAACCCATGGTGTGGAAAGTCCTGCAACGAATCCTTGTAGAGAAAGGGTAGAAGGAAGTGCCTGAGTACCTTACAACAGCTCTAGGAGGAAGCGGCATTAAAGTGTAAGACCAGTGCTGTGATGTAAATCCTGGTCACCCACCTGATACTGAGCTCTAAGCGCATGACTTTTAGCGCCAAGTTTGAACTGTAAAATGAATACATTTCAAACATAGCCAGTTTTACCCAGATCCAGTCCTTTCAGTTCATAACGCTGGACTGTATACAAGGTCTAGGTTTCACCTGTCACAGTGGCATACCTCAGCAGGGGTCTTCAGGAACTGGGTTCCATTGTGATGGACCACAGCCCTGGACCTGTATAACACCCTGTGGCTAAAACAACACGTTGCACCAAGAGCCAAGGTGCAACATTACAGTCTGTCCCCCACATGGGGACAAGGTTTTATGGAGGATCACCAAAACATTGCTTCTCTAGACAGAGTTGAAGAATTCTTTTAAGGAAAATAACCTATTTTACATCACCTTCAGAAACAAGCAAAAATCTGAGGCTCACTGAGGTTTAAAAGGGGAGAGGTTCTGGGGAGCATGTCCTCAAAAGCTCGCCAGTGTCCAATCACCTTGAGGTTCAAAGCTATAACCCATAGTGTATGAATAATTTGCCTGTTTACTGTACTTTGACTCAGATAAAATATTGTCTGAACCTTACACATTCTGCCAGGGGTATGTAAGCTTAAGAGCACAACCATATTTGTTACACTTGTATTCTTCCCAGCACATATCAGATATTTGGTAATCAAGATTTGTATAGCAAGTACCTTCTGCACTGATCTCTCGGTCATTTAGTGTTCGCAGAAGTAATGACTCCATTTTTTCATGTAGAAAAATCCGTAATAAAATGCTAGCTAGTAGTGTACGATCTTGCCCACACACATGTGATAACGCTGTGACTACATGTAGCTCTTTTTGAAGAATTAGCTACAAAAAGAAGAAAGGCAACCAAAATTAAGAATTCAAATACACATATTATAATGTAGTTATACAATACCATGCATAAACCAAATGTAAATTGCTTATCCTGACCTTTTAACCTAGCATCTTAGCTTAGGGCCCTTTCAGACTGGTGTGCTTTTGCCTTGTTGAAACACCTTTCCAGTGCAATAAACATGCATGAAAAGTATTCCCCTTTAAATCCTACGCAACTGCACACCAAAAATGCACCTTCCACTGTGAATCAATGGAAACTCATCAAAAGCACGCCACATCTGCCATATTAGCTGTTGCCACAAAACAAAATGACTAGCCTACTCAGATCATAGGTTTTTGAGTACGGCACAAAATAGGTCATGAGCTGGTTTCTGGATTTCCTTCATTTTTGCTGTGATAGATATGATCTTCATTGTATTTAGGCTAAGAAAAGGGTCACACTCCCCCAGCTGGATTATTTATAGCAATAATTTTATTAACTGTAAAACCAAGAACTAAAATGAACTAAATTTTATTTTTTTTTATTACCAAGGAGGATTAAACAGGGAACAACATTGTCATGTTTGTTTCCATTTTTCTTCTGTCCATTTCCTATAGTCTATTTTTGCATCATGATGGCTTAACTGCTGCAGAGCAGTACAGAGACAGGAACACCATGGATGTTCTGAACCAAAAAAAAAAATTATGAGTAGACATTGCAAAACATTACCTCTTTGAACTCATTGTACTCCTCTTCTGGCATAATTTTCTCCATAGAGTACCTTGCCCGAACACGCAAAGACCCTGGCTCAATACCTTTCAGTGGTATGTGGGAACTCAGCTGAAACCACTCATCTATTGCATGTCCTTTTTGCAATCGGTTTAACTGGCAGCGCATAAATACTGCAACCATAAGAAATGACAATTAACTAAGTAGAACATTCTGGGAAAGAAAAGGCTCCTTTGGGCAGCATTTTTAACAAAATATACAACCATACTCACAAATGTCAGGATCTTTGCTTTTCTTTGTTTTGTTACTGAGGCTAATCTCAAATCTGTTTATGTCAGGCGATAAATCACTAAGAAAAAAAAAACATTTCTACTGAATAATTTAACAAAAACATATATCTTAAGTAAATGTTTTTATCAGATCACCACACGCTTACTATAAATACACAAGTCAAAGTGTCACTAAACCCACATCATAAAAAACTATCAATAAATGCTATATTACATGCTGTTCATACACTCAATCACAATGAGATTTTTCTGTATTCTGCAAAAATCCTGGTTGATCCCGCTGCTCTCTATCTCCACCTTCTGTTCATGTCTTTAATTCGGCTAGGGATTTTGCAGCTGTAGAGGCAACTCTGCAAATGCTCAGTTTTGAGTGAGTTTCTATGCTGAGCATTTCCTCCCTATCACATCTGAGCAACCCATGTGATCAGAGTGGTAAATGGCAACCCACTCCCTCTGTTTTGGAGCACACCCCTTCTGAGAACGAACCTTTGTTCGAAATGCATCAAGGAAGGAGCCCTGGACGCTGAGACGCCACGCCACCGGATCACGGAGGTCTGGCGGCCATATTACGGTACCAGCTGGTCAGTGTCTTAATAAGCAATTTCACTGTATTGCTTATACATCACTAGAACTACTCACAGTGTATGTTTTATTTATGAGCTTTCTATATGCATCACTATTAAAGCATTTAAACACTACACTATGGGAATCCCCTTTCATTTTGCTGCATATCGAGCATTTTAACCCCCCAGCTATCCTGATGACCATCCCAGAGCCCTAGAAGGGAGTCCTGGCTGACCTGATATATCCTTAACCAAGAGGAGGGCCGGTTACCCCTAGGCTGTATCCGGCTCTACCCTAAGAAGGGAAACCTGACAGACCAGCTATACACGATACAACGCGCTAATTACATGATCTTCTGGTGAGTGCGCACTTTATCCATTTCTGGCACAACCACCTGAATATATCCAGCGTACTGGGACTAAAAGTGTCATCAGGAGACCCCCTTGTTGGAGGAATTATATTTAATGATATAAACGCAGGTGCAACCACAGTGCGTTTTTGTTGAAGAATTTATGAACTTTTAACGTTTTTCATCATTTTTATTGATTTTTATTATTCATGTTTACCCCCATTAGTGGACATTTTTATGATCATATATATTTTACACGCATTTTTTTCTTATAATAATTTTAGCGCACTTTTATATATTTTATACTCAAGGCAATTTATGGTTTTGACCTCAGTGCAACAGCCGCTTGTATGACATAGCAGTCGCTTTCATTATCCACCTTCACGCCCACTAACCTGCTAAACACAATGGGGTTGGGATATTACATGTAGATTATTGGAGGAACCTCCTCCCCCTTAATCTATGACACGATATTATTTCCACAAATAAAGGTTTGATTTAAAAGAAATATTTGTATGCCAATTTCAAACAGTTTGATATTTATTTTTACTCTGTATTCCAAAAGCTTTTTTTTTTATTTTGAACATGTGGCCAGTAGCAGAGGATTAGAAGCTCCTCCTACGTATGTTTCCCTGCTGATAGGCTGGCAGCTGTATATTGATTAGGAAAAAGGTACTTACATTTTTTATTAAAATAATTACAGCGCCATCATCCACACAAAGAAATAGAAAGGATAATGTAAATTAAACAGTGTGTTTAGTATCACTTTAACGATAGTTGTACTTTTAACTTTTTTCTTTAGTTATAAGTACAGTGGGGATCGAAAGTTTGGGCACCCCAGCTAAAAATTTGTATTAATGTGCATAAAGAAGCCAAGGAAAGATGGAAAAATCTCCAAAAGGCATCAAATTACAGATTAGACATTCTTATAATATGTCAACAAAAGTTAGATTTTATTTCCATCATTTACACTTTCAAAATAACAGAAAACAAAAAAATGGCATCTGCAAAAGTTTGGGCACCCTGCAGAGTTAATATCTTGTACTGCCCCCTTTGGCAAGTATCACAGCTTGTAAACGCTTTTTGTAGCCAGCCAAGAGTCTTTCAATTCTTGTTTGAGGTATCTTTGCCCATTCTTCCTTACAAAAGTCTTCCAGTTCTTTGAGATTTCTGGGCTGTCTGCCACGCACTGCTCTTTTAAGGTCTATCCATAGATTTTCAATGATGTTGAGGGTCAGGAGATTGTGAAGGCCATGGCAAAACCTTCAGTTTACGCCTCTTGATGTAATCCCCCGTGGATTTCGAGGTGTGTTTAGGATCATTATCCATTTGTAGAAGCCATCCTCTCTTTAACTTCAGCTTTTTCACAGATGGCATCAAGTTACCATCCAAAATTTGCTGAAATTTTATTGAATCCATTTTTCCTTCTACTCGTGAGATGTTCCCTGTGCCACTGGCTGCAACACAACCCCAAAGCATGATTGATCCAACCCCATGCTTAACAGTTGGACAGAGGTTCTTTTCATTCAATTCTGTGCCCCTTCTTCTCCAAACGTTCCTTTGCTCATTCCGGCCAAAAAGTTCAATTTTAACCTCATCGGTCCACAGAACTTGTTTCCAAAATGCATCAGACTTGTCTATATTCATTTGCAAAGTTCAAATGATGATTTTTGTGGTGAGGACGTAGAAGAGGTTTTCTTCTGATGAATCTTCCATGAAGACCATATTTGTACAAGTATCTCTTTATAGTGGAATAGTGTACCACAACTCCAGTGTCTGCCAGATCTTTCTGGAGGGATCGTGCAGTCAAACGTGGGTTTTGAATTGTTTTTCTCACAATTCTGCGAGCTGTTCTGTCTGATATTTTTCTTGGTCTTCCAGATTTTGCTTTAACTTCCACTGTTCCTGATGACTGCCATTTCTTAATTACATTCCGAACAGAGGATATTGACATCTGAAAACGCTTTGCTATCTTCTTATAGCCTTCTCCAGCTTTGTGAGCGTCAACTATTTTCAGTTTCAGTTTTCTAGACAACTGCTTAGAAGAACCCATGGTGCTGATTGTTGGGGCAAGGTCAGATGAGTCTGGGCATTTAAAACCTTTGAGATTGACATCACCTGGTCTGCCCAGACGATGATTGAGAACAATCCATGACACTAGCAGGTCTCAGCTTTGCAAAGGGGGCAGTGCATGCTATAAATTCTGCAGGGTGCCCAAACTTTTGCAGACGCCATTTTTTTGTTTTCTGTTATTTTGAAAGTGTAAATGATGGAAATAAAATCTAACTTTTGTTGACATATTATAAGAATGTCTAATCTGTAATTTGATGCCTTTTGGAGATTTTTCCATCTTTCCTTGGTTTCTTTATGCACATTAATACAAATTTTTAGCTGGGGTGCCCAAACTTTCGATCCCCACTGTATATGTATCGGTAATACAAGTGGAAAAGGACACTTCTAAAATGAAACATACTTGCTAAAGAAATAAGGACAGCATATAAAAGGATCCAACCACACATACAGAGTTTTAACCAAAAATAATTCAGGTTATAAAACTTACTCAAAGAAAAACTCTTCTGACCAAACAGGATTTTGGCCTTCACGAGCATGTGTCTTGGCTACCTGAACACTATTCAGGTAAATATTGCAGTACGGACTAGTGAAATGTTTGACTGGGAGCTTGTGTGCTTCTTCTATGTGCAAATGGAGACTGCTGACCTGGAAAAAGGAATTAGATGCTCATTTAGACTGTAGCACAAATGTGCACTCAACAAGAACATTGTCAGACAGTACTGGCTTTGCTTTGAATACTTAACCACTTAAGTCCCAGGTGTAATTCCTCAACAGCACTGGTTTAGCTGCCATTTACCCCAGTATTGTCTACTTGTGATTGTGACACACTGCATTTTTCTTAAATAGGAAAAGCATTGATATTACCTGTGACATCACAACACTCCCCATCAGTCTTAGAGTTATCTTGTACTAGGGCAAAAAAAACAGATCCGTACTGTGAATGCCCAACAACATGCAAGTCACTATTACTGTATGTCTTATAACAACATAAGGATCAGGGGGAGAACTACTGAGTGCAGATGGGGACAAAAGAGATCAACACTTTTGGAAGTGTAAGTTATCTCAGCAGGGTCCAGAGGATGATTTTTATTCAAGGGAGTGGCATTTAACGGTGCAGGCAGCACTACGCTCTTTTAGGGGTTAGCTTTGAGGCCTGTTTTTTTTTTTTTCTTACCTGAAATGATTGCTTTAAAAGTGCAAAGCTGTGGTTTCCCAACTGAAACCTCAAATTGAAGACTATTTATATGAGTCAGGTAAACCATACTGCATGTCCATGTGCAGACAGGAGTTATAATGAGAGTAGTAAAGAGAGTAAGCAGAGCTTGTGATCTATCGGTGTGTTGATAACTCCACTGTGCAATTAGTAGACTGGTGGGGAAGTGAAACCACTTCTCCTCAACTCCAGCAAAAAAGTGGTGTCATGCTCCTTGTTGAACTGTCAAAAGTAACTAGGAAGAACTACTATGGCAGATGAGACAGTTTATATATGTGTATTCCAGCTAGATAGTACAGTAGAAATATAGGCAAACTTTTATTTTTTTCACTTTGGATAGAGTAAGGGAGGGTTATAGCTTGTCAATTTTTTTCCCATCTGCATCCCATTGGGGAGATTTCTTGTCAATTACTTTCCTAGAGGCAAAAGAGGAAAGGAGTAGAAATCCCTGTAAAGTGAGGAAATTTTTGGTGGTCACCAGAATTAATGTCGCCATTGGAAGATATCCCCTCTAGTCCTCTTCTGGTGACAACCCAAAATTTTGGATTTGCTTTCACTATCGGTGATAATAAGCTCCAAGGAGCAGAGCCCTCCTATCCCTCTTGTATTGAACTGTATTGTTGCTGTATTGTCTCCCGTTATAATGTAAAGCACTAAGCAAACTGTTGGCGCTATATAAATCCTGTATAATAATAATAATAATAATAATGAATGATAATGGTAAACAGGACGAAAAGAGAGGCTAAATCTCCCTAAAATGGGCAGAGACAGAAATAAAAACCTGACAGGTGTTGTAATCACTCTCCACTCTATATATATATATAAAAAAAAAAAAAAGAATAATATACTTTAGTTATACTTCAACTGATTGCCTGGAGTTCTGTTTTGTATTTCAATGGTTTCAAAGCAACAAATATCTTATGGCTTATGCATTAAAAAAAAGAACTCCATATTTAAGTGCCATTGATATTCACCTGTCGAATACAAACCTGTCGAAGACGCTTATTGGATGTGGTTTGTGTGGTCTTCCGTAAGCTGCAAAATGCCTGAAGACTTTTCATCCAGTCCTAGTACGGAAGGAAAAAAAAAGGTGAAGCACCAGACTAAAAGGAAGTCATTTAACTGCTGTTTTATGACCTTGACATTTTAAAAACAAGGTAGAAACCCTTATCTTAACAGACAGAATAAATCAGATGCATTAAGGGAGAATAGGATGTTGGTTACGTATACGATACCAAACCTTTGCTATCCCAATGTCAGAACCAAGGTTTAGTTTTAAACGCTTTAGGACTGCCCGCAGTAGATTTAATGATGAAGGGTGGCCCCTGTGCGCAGGATTGCGTATATATATATATCTATCTATATATCTATCTATATATCTATCTATCTGCATTTCCAGGTAGGGGACAAGTGCGCGCCCTATCCACGCCGCCGATCAAGGCCCCGGGTGTCAATCACCGGGTCCCGACCGATTATTACCCGTCGGCGCCCCAGTGATTACCAGCGATCACCGACAGGGAGGAGGGCAGCATTGTTTACCAACAGCCCTCCTCCTTGTCAGTTTGGGCACACTGTTCGGGATGGCACCTGCCCCCTAGTAAAACACTCCCTACACAGTTAACCTTCTGATTATCCCTCATGTTAACCCTTTCCTTCCCAGTGTCATTAGTACAGCGTCAGTGCTATTTTTTTAGCACTGATCACTGTATTGGCATGACTGGGGATGTCAGTGACACTAAGTCAGTTTCCCCCAGTGTCAGAATGCCCGCTGCAGTCCCACTATAAGTCACTGATCGCCACTACAAGTATTGTCCCGCAACCACCAAGAATTCGCACACAGGCCAGAGAGCCCCTAGGATCCTTCCGGATGTGCTTGCAAATCCCGATCGGCAGCTCAAAAATTCTGCAGCACCCATACTTCCCCCATTCATTGCCCAACCCGGAATTCAGGTGGAAACAGCAAATTTAACTACTCCCCTTGATTTTTTGGAACTGTTTTTCATGGAAGATCTGTATGCATTGATTGTGGATCAAAGCAATTTATATGCACAACAATTTATCACCGCCAACCCAAATTCAAACTTTGCTAGACCATTCGCATGGAAACCCATTACGGTTTCCAAATTTAAATTTTTGGGGGGCCTAGCCCTCAACATGGGCATTAATAAAAAAAAAAAAAAAAATTGCGGTTGTATTGGTCCACAGACCCGATTCATCATATGCCAGTGTTCTCTGCTGCCATGGCCAGGCATAGATATGAGTATGTGTTTTATGCATTTCAATGACAATACATTCTGTTGTCCTCAGAGTGACCCTGAATTTGACTGGCTCCACAAAATTCGGCCCCTCATAAATCACCTTAACCAAAAATTTGCAGATGTTTATACTCCCAAGCAAAAATCTGCGTTGATGCGTCCCTCAATTTTTCTGGCCGCATTGCATTCAAACAATTTATTCCCAGCAAGTGTGCCAGATATGGGGTCAAGATGTAGAAGACCTGTGAGAGGGCAACAGGCTATATACATACAAGTTTCGGATTTACGAGGGAAAAGATAGTCAAGTGGAGCCCCCCGGATGCCCAGACTACATGGGGAGTAGTGGCTAGATAGTTTGCGACTTGGTGTCATCCTTTTCCTATATGGGGTACCACTTACACGTGGACAATTTTTATTCAAGTGTGCCACTATTTAGACATTTGCACAATCTTGGAATTGGCGCACTGGGCACCGTGTGGCCTAATGTGTGCCCAAGTCATGTGACACCCTCCCACTCTGACCGCCTGGGGGCACGCAGCGCCACGATCGGTGGTGAACTGTGTCCCTGGGACACAGCGGATCACCGATCAACGGTAAGTGATGAAGATGTCGGCTCTGTCATGTGATCAGCTGTGTCCATTTCACAAGCATGTGCAATTTTAAAATGTGACATATTTGGTATCCATTTACGTGACCCAATGACATATTTTAGATTTTATCAAAAATTGGGTATTAGATTGGGTTTGTGTGCATTAAGATATATTAAAGTGTATTTTTGCGATAGGGTGTAAAATTGCGTTTGAAAAACCGCTGTGCAAATACCATGTGACAATTTGGAAAACCCACCATTTTATTCTCTAGGTCCTCTGGTAAAAAATATATAATGTTTGGGGCTTCTAAGTTCTAGAAAAATACTGATTTTTACTTGTAAACAAAAAATGTCAGAAGGCAGCTTGGTCTTAAAGTGGATAACGCCTGAAGGTTCTCCCTGGATGTTGGGCCTCTCTTTGTGGCTAGACCAGCAATGGGCAAACTACGGCCCGCAGGCCGTATACGGCCCGGCGGACCTTTTAATCCGGACCGCGGAGAACGCTCCTCTCACATTCCGCCCTGAAGACCGGTGTAGCATGAAAATCTGTCTCCTATGAGAATCTGTCCCCCTCGACGTATATGCGCATGTGCTGGAGATCGCCGATCGGCTGCTAATGCCTGAAACTGGCACATGCGCAGATACGTCGAGGGGGACAGATCCTCATAGGAGACACATTTTCATGCTACATCGGAAAGGCGCGGGAACACGGCAAGAGGAACGCGCGGAGCAAAGGTAAGTGAATTGACACAGGGGGGACTTGGGGACTTAATATGGGGGATGAAGTAATATGGGGAATGAATTACTATATGGGGGATGAATTAATATGGGGGATGAATTACTATAGGGGGGGATGAATTACTATAGGGGGGATGAATTACGTAGGGGGGATGAATTACTATAGGGGGGATGAATTACTATAGGGGGATGAATTACTATATGGGGGATGAATTATGGGGAAATTACTATGGGGGGGATGAATTACTATATGGGGGATGAATTACTATATGGGGGATGAATTACTATATGGGGGATGAATTACTATATGGGGGATGAATTACTATATGGGGGAGATGAATTACTATGGGGGAGATGAATTACTATGGGGGAGATGAATTACTATAGGGGAGATGAATTACTATGGGGGGTATGAATTACTATAGGGGGGGTGAATTACTATAGGGGGGGTGAATTACTATAGGGGGGATGAATTACTATAGGGGGGATGAATTACTATATGGGGGATGAATTACTATATGGGGGATGAATTACTATATGGGGGATGAATTACTATATGGGGGATGAATTACTATATGGGGGATGAATTACTATGCTTACTATATGGGGGATGAATTACTATATGGGGGATGAATTACTATATGGGGGATTAATTACTATGCTTACTATGGGGGAATATTACTATACTTACTATGGATGACACATACACATCATTCATCTACTCTTGGTCTGGCCCCCGGGTCCAATATATGAACCCATTGCGGCCCTCAAGTCAAAAAGTTTGCCCACCCCTGGGCTAGACTGTGAAAACATCTCACACATGTAGTATCACCATACTCAGGAGAAGTAGCAAAATGTGTTTTGGGGTGTAGCTGAAAGTATGCCTATGCCATGTGTGAGAACTACCTTGTTAACATGACATTTTTGTAGGGAAAAACAAAAAAAAACTAAACAAAAACATTTTAACTTAATTTTCCAAAGAATTGTGGAAAAAAAAATTACAACTTCAAAAAACGCGCCATACCTCTTATTAAATACCACAGACTGTCTACTTTCTAAAAAGGGGTAATTTGGGGAGGATTTGTACGGTCCCCTGGCATGTTAGGGCCTCTAGAAATGTGATAGGCCATCAGAACATCAGGTGTGATCAATTTTCAATGATGATTGGTACCATAGCTTGTAGACTAACATTCACACAGACCAAATAATAAAAAACTGATTTTTAACAAATAAATGTAGTAGTATGCATTTTGATAAAAATTTATGAAGAACATTTACTTATTTGCAAAATTTTATAACAGAAATGAAGAAAAACAGGCTTTTTTTTTTCAAAATTTGCAGTCTTTTTTAATTTATAGCGTAAAAAAAAAAAAAAAAAAAAACTACATATCACCAAAAGAAAGCTCTCTGTCTCAAAAAATGATAATTTCATATGGTTACAGTGTTGCATGACTGAATAATTATTCAAAGTGCAACAGTGCTCAAAGCTGAAAATTGGCCTGGGCAGGAAGGGGGTAAAAGTGCCTAGTATGGAGGTGGCAAACCACAATTACCACATTTTTGCTCAATTAAACACTTCAATAAATTGGACACTTACAGTCTCCTGCCCAGGCCAATTTTCCGCTTTCAGTGCTCTCACACTTTTGAATGACAATTACTGAGTCATGCAATACTGTACAAAAAATTATTATTTTTTGTTTAGGTGGCATTTAGTCACTACTAGGTTTATTTTTTGATAAACAAAAAAAAGAATTTTGAAAAAAAAAAAAACACGTTTTTGTTCAAAATATATTCTGCTACATTTCTTTGGTAAAAATAATCCAAATCATTGTACATTATTTAAGCTCTATGAATATTATAGAGTCTACAAGCTATATTACATATACAGCCCCTGGCAAAAAGTATGGAATCTTCCATGTGAAGGATCTGACCTGCAAAGCTGATCTGGCAACTGCAATAAGAGAAAGTTGGAGCCGGATTGATGAAGAATACGGTTTGTCGATAGTTAAAACCATGCCTCAGAGCATTCAAGCTGTTATAAAAGCTAGAGGTGGTGCAACAAAGTACTAGTGGTTTACTGTAGTGTTTTGTTTTTTTTTTGATGATTCCATAATATTTTCCTCAGAATTAAGGGATTCTATTTTTTTTTCCCTCTGCTTGACCTGCAAAAACAGTTGCAACTGACTACATTTTTCTTCCTTTTTTTGTGTTTCTTAAAGCCAGAAGGTTGGAATGTTAAATGAAAATAGTTTTGAGGCATGTCTGTGATTAGTTTTTTTTTTTTTCTTCTACACAAACAACTGAATGAACATTTTTCAAGAGTGGCGATTCCATACTTTTTGCCAGGGGTTGTATATGAAAATTGATCAATCCGGATGTACTGACTGCCTATCATCATTTCTTAAGGCCCTAAAATACCAGGACAGTACAAATATCCCCAAAATTAACCCTTTTTGGAAAGTAGACACCCAAAAACGATTTAGTA